TACCTCTTCTTCCGAGCACCCATGTCTCTCCCTGTGTATAAGCAATATCTCTTCTTCCAAGCACCCCTGTCTCTCCCTGTGTATCAGCAATACTTCTTCTTCCAAGCACCCATGTCTCTCCCTGTGTTTCACCAATACCTCTTCTTCCAAGCACCCCTGTCTCTCCCTGTGTATCACCAATACACCTTCTTCCAAGCACCCCTGTCTCTCCCTGTGTATCACCAATACATCTTCTTCCAAACACTCATGTCTCTCTGTGTCTATCACCAATACATCTTTTTTCCAAGAGCCGCTTTCTCTGTGTGTATCAGCAATACCTGTTCTTCCAAGCACCTCTGTCTCACCTTGTGTATCAGCAATACCTCTTCTTCCAAACACTCATGTCTCTCTGTGTCTATCAGCAATACCTCTTCTTCCAAGCACCAATGTCTCTCCCTGTGTATCGGCAATACCTCTTCTCTCAAGCACCCCTGTCTCTCCCTGCGTATCACCAATACATCTTCTTCCAAACACTCATGTCTCTCTGTGTCTATCACCAATACATCTTTTTTCCAAGCACCACTTTCTCTGTGTGTATCAGCAATACATCTTCTTCCAAGCACCTCTGTCTCACCTTGTGTATCAGCAATACCACTTCTTCCAAACACTCATGTCTCTCTGTGTCTATCAGCAATACCTCTTCTTCCAAGCACCTCTGTCTCTCCCTGTGTATCGCAATACATCTTCTTCCAAGCACCCCTGTCTCTCCCTGTGCAACAGCAATATATCTTCTTCCAAGCACCCCTGTCTCTCCCTGTGTATCACCAATACATCTTCTTCCAAGCACCCCTATCTCTCCCTGTGTATCAGCAATACATCTTCTTCCAAGCACCCCCGTCTCTCCCTGCGTATCACCAATACACCTTCTTCCAAGCACCCATGTCTCTCCCTGTGTATCACCAATACATCTTTTTTCCAAGCACCCATGTCTCTGTGTGTATCAGCAATACCTGTTCTTCCAAGCACCTCTGTCTCACCGTGTGTATCAGCAATACCTCTTCTTCCAAACACCCATGTCTCTCCCTGTGTGTATCACCAATACCTCTTCTTCCAAGCACCCCTGTCTCTCCCTGTGTATCACCAATACCTCTTCTTCCGAGCACCCCTGTCTCTCCCTGTGTATCACCAATACATCTTCTTCCAAGCACCCCCGTCTCTCCCTGTGTATCACCAATACATCTTCTTCCAAGCACCCCTGTCTCTCCCTGTGCATCAGCAATATATCTTCTTCCAAGCACCCCTGTCTCTCCCTGTGTATCATCAATACATCTTCTTCCAAGCACCCCTGTCTCTCCCTGTGCATCAGCAATACATCTTCTTCCAAACACCCCCGTCTCTCCCTGTGTATAAGCAATACATCTTCTTCCAAACACCCCTGTCTCTCCCTGTGTATCAGCAATACCTCTTCTTCCAAGCACCCCTGTCTCTCCCTGTGTATCACCAATACATCTTCTTCCAAGCACCCCTGTCTCTCCCTGTGTATCACCAATACATGTTCTTCCAAGCACCCATGTCTCTCCCTGTGTATCACCAATACATCTTCTTCCAAGCTCCCCTGTTTCTCCCTGTGTATCAGCAATACATCTTCTTCCAAGCACCCCTGTCTCTCCCTGTGTATCAGCAATACATCTTCTTCCAAGCACCCCTGTCTCTCCCTGTGTATCACCAATACATGTTCTTCCAAGCACCCATGTCTCTCCCTGTGTATCAGCAATACATCTTCTTCCAAGCACCCATACATCTCCCTGTGTATCACCAATACATCTTCTTCCAAGCACCCCTGTCTCTCCCTGTGCATCAGCAATATATCTTCTTCCAAGCACCCATGTCTCTCCCTGTGTATCACCAATACATGTTCTTCCATGCACCCATGTCTCTATGTGTGTATCAGCAATACCTGTTCTTCCAAGCACTCTTGTCTCTGTGTGTATCAGCAATACCTCTTCTTCCAAGCACCCCTGTCTCTCCCTGTGTATCACCAATACATGTTCTCCCAAGCACCCATGTCTCTATGTGTGTATCAGCAATACCTGTTCTTCAAAGCACTCTTGTCTCTGTGTGTATCAGCAATACCTCTTCTTCCAAGCACCCATACCTCTCCCTGTGTATCAGCAATACCTGTTCTTCCAAGCACCCCTTTCTCTCTCTGTGAGGTGAGGTGAGGTGACAATTGGTTAAACGTCATGTCCAAGATTATTGCACTTATATAGCGACGTGCATGCACGTGTGTGTGTGGCTGCTTGTACTAGTCAGGACTGATGCCGATTTATAGTGCTAGCACACTGAGATACCATGCCGCAGTTTAACATGAATATCCCACTCAGGCACAGTATACTGTCTCCGAGCAGACCTGTCCTTGTTTTAGTCCCTTAATCCAAGCGTCAGACAGGGTAACAACAAGTACCATCTTTTAACGTCTTTTGGTATGACGCGGCCGGGGATCGAGCCCTGGACCTTCCGCTCTCCTAGACCACGGAGGCGGTCGTCTCTCTCCGTGTATCACCAATATCTCTTCTTCCAAATATCCCTATAGCTGTGTGTGTATCACCAATACCTCTTCTTCTGAGCATCCAAAACTACAACTACTAACGCTATCTCGTCTTTTGAATCTAACCCTAACACTACAAATTCTAACACTATCTCGTTTCTTAATAACCAACGAACCCAACACTACATCTACTAACGACATGTCGTCTTTCTTGAAACCTATGAACCCAAGACTACAACTACTGACAATATATTGTCCTTTCAGAACTTATGAACCCAATACTACAAATACAAACTCTATCTCGTTCTTTCAGAACATGTGAAGCTAACACTATAACTACCAACACCATCTCGTCCTTTGAGAACCTATGAGCCCAACACTGCAACTACTATCACCATATCGTCCTTTCAGTACCTACGAAGCCAACACTGCAAGTACCAACACCATCTCGTCCTTTGAGAACATGTGAACCCAACACTGCAACTACTATAACCATATCGTCCTTTCAGAACCTAAAGAATCCAACACTATAACTACTAACACCATATCGTCCTTTCAGAACCTAGGAACCCAACACTACAACTACTTACACCATTTCGTCCTTTCAGAACCTATGAACCCAACGCTACAAATACTAACACTACCTCGGTTCCTTTTAGAACCAATGAATTCAATTCTATCGTTACAGCTACTTTGGCTCTCCTTCAAACCGCCTCAATCGATCTGTCCTTATGTAAGAAAAACACTTGTTCAGATAAATCACGTATACCCTCAGCCTAATAAACTACGATCTACAGTGAAGAAGAACATACCCACCCACTTTCCCAGTTACCATACCCACTGTCTAACACAACACTCCATTGTGCAGTTAAACACATCCACCCACTAGCCAATTGACCATCTCTGGTTACTGTTTAATGAACTGGATGTGCCTATCATTAAACAAACTAGCTGCGGCCGTGTTCCGCTACATCCGCTGTGTTACTGGGCTCCCATCACGGTAGCTGGGTGTATGTGTTGTGAGGAGGTGTTTTGATATGGTCGCAGCCTCAAGTTTGCATGCAAGGGATGCATCTGCTATCACAGGCGTAAAGACATGGGACATCAAAGCGAGTTAATCAGACACAACTGTGAATAATTCAGTGCATGTTTAATAGGTAATGTTGGCCCTTGACAGGCGTGGAGAGCCGCAGTGCACTGACTGACAGCAGAAGGAGGTCCACAAGCACCGGGACACCAACAGCAACAGCAAGAACGCTGAAATCAATGACATACCGTATCATATACTACTCAACCTTTCCTAGAGATATGTTTGAAGATATCAGTAATGCATCGTGCTATTGAGATGGAATTGCCGGGTTACCGATACATGAGGCCCACTGATAGTGTTTTATTATGCCCCGGATAATTACATTATGACACGTTGCGTTTCATCAGTCGTGAATCGTCTTATCTAATTTTATTTTGTATCTATGAAAACGCACGTCCAAAAGTACACAAAAAACATTGTTACATGAGACCTTAGATTGAACAGTGTCCATCGTGGATGGCGGAGGGCTAAGGCGAGAGGGAAAATATTGTGGTGGAGAGGGAGAGGGAGAGGGAGAGGGAGAACATGAAGATGGTGATGTGTGCGCGATGACAGAAGGACAATATGATGATGAGAGAGGGTAGATGGAGAATTTGATGGTGAGGTGGGGCGAGAGGGAAAATCATATTTTTTAGGGATATTTGATAGAGGGACAAGATGATGGTCTGGAGGGAGCGGGACAATATAATGGTGGTGGAGGGAAAGGGACGATATGATGGTGGTGGAGGGAAAGGGACAATATGACGGTGGTGGGGGAAAATGGCAGAGGGACAATATGATGGTGGTTGGGGAAGATGGCAGGAGGACCATATGATGGCGTGGAGGGAGAGGGACAATATGATGGTGGTGGAGGGAGAGGGACACTATGAGGGGGGTGGAGGAAAATGGAAGAGGGACAATACGATGGTGGTGGAAGAAGATGGTAGGAGGCCCATATGATGTTGTGGAGGGAGAGGGACAATATGATGTTGGTGGAAGGAGAGGTACGATATGATGGTGGTGGAGGAAGATGTCAGAGAGACAGTATGATGGTGGTGGAGGGAGAGACAGTATGATGGTCTGGAGGGAGAGGGACAAGATGATGGTGGTGGAGGCAGAGGGACAATATGACGGTGGTGAAGGGAGAGGGGGGTGTGGTGGTGAGGAAGATCGCAGAGGGATAATATGATGGTCTGGAGGGAGAGGGACAATATGATGGTGGTGGGGGGAGAGGGACGATATGATGGTAGTGGGTGGAGAGGGGGGATGTGATGGTTGTGGAGGGAGAGGGGGAATGTGATGGTTGTGGAGGGAGAGGGACGATATGATGGTGGTGGAGGGAGAGGGGGAATATGATGGTGGTGGAGGGAGAGGGGGAATATGATGGTGGTGGAGGGAGTGGGACTATATGATGGTGGTGGAGGGAGAGGGACAATATGATGGTGGTGGGGGGAGAGGGACGATATGATGGTAGTGGGTGGAGAGGGGGGATGTGATGGTTGTGGAGGGAGAGGGGGAATGTGATGGTTGTGGAGGGAGAGGGACGATATGATGGTGGTGCAGGGAGAGGGGGAATATGATGGTGGTGGAGGGAGTGGGACTATATGATGGTGGTGGAGGGAGAGGGACAATATGATGGTGGTGGGGGGAGAGGGACGATATGATGGTAGTGGGTGGAGAGGGGGGATGTGATGGTTGTGGAGGGAGAGGGGGAATGTGATGGTTGTGGAGGGAGAGGGACGATATGATGGTGGTGCAGGGAGAGGGGGAATATGATGGTGGTGGAGGGAGAGGGGGAATATGATGGTGGTGCAGGGAGAGGGGGAATATGATGGTGGTGGAGGGAGAGGGTTGATATGATGGTAGTGGGTGGAGAGGGGGGATGTGATGGTTGTGGAGGGAGAGGGGGAATATGATGGTTGTGGAGGGAGAGGGACGATATGATGGTGGTGCAGGGAGAGGGGGAATATGATGGTGGTGGAGGGAGAGGGGGAATATGATGGTGGTGGAGGGAGTGGGACTATATGATGGTAGTGGGTGGAGAGGGGGGATGTGATGGTTGTGGAGGGAGAGGGGGAATATGATGGTGGTGGAGGGAGAGGGGGAATATGATGGTGGTGGAGGGAGAGGGACGATATGATGGTAGTGGGTGGAGAGGGGGGATGTGATGGTTGTGGAGGGAGAGGGGGAATGTGATGGTTGTGGAGGGAGAGGGACGATATGATGGTTGTGGAGGGAGAGGAACGATATGATGGTGGTGGAGTGGGTGGGACTATATGATGGTGGTGGAGGGAGAGGGACAATATGATGGTTGTGGAGGGAGAGGGACAATATGATGGTGGTTGAGGGAGAGGGACTATATGATGGTGGTGGAGGGAGAGGGGGAATATGATGGTGGTGGAGGGAGAGGGGGAATATGATTGTTGTGGAGGGAGAGGGGAACATCTTGACAGAGAAAATCAGTTGGTGTCTGATGGGGAGGGACAACATGATACATGAGAGGAAACGTGTTTCGGTTGGAAACAGAGATAAAACATGGGATAGGTTGTTATGAAAATGGAAAAGAGGGGAAGAATGGCAAACCAGTGCAACAACATATTAACTTGTACCCTAGCAACACGATCATATTCAGTGAAATAACTACACGTTACTGGTGATGTCACACTGAGGTAGCCACATATAGCATGTGATTTTCAGATCTGTTCTGTCCACACAGATTCACACGTTTATAACGGTATATGACACCTCCCTCAATGAACGTAATAAGATGTCTGTCTGCAAACATCCAGCTTGCATTGATATAGTTATCCGTGTATTGATATATGAACAAACCTTTGGAATTCAACGTTCATGCGTGCCTTATGGCTGCAAAACGCCATCTTTCTAGTTAGCGCAATAAAAATATTTTATTTTAGTCGAAATGAAATACGTTCAGACTACATTGACTTCAAGGATGCAGCTCCCTGTGAGATGAAGAACGTGTAACCGCGATGAGCATCTGCCAGATAGGATGAGAAATGACCGCCCAATTTGGTGGCTCTTACTCGCTCCAACTAATCGCGCGGACACACTCAGTGGAAAGTCGAAATAAGGATCTAACTGTAAGCGCTGGGCCGGACTCGATCGTGTTGTGGAGCCGCCAAGCATGCATGATGGATGGCTTGGGGTATGGCCCGTGATATTGAACGTCGCCTTCTCCCCGACCGCGTCATCAGCGGCAATTACGACTACCTCCTCTCGCTGACCCTCCGACCAATGTCCAGCGTGGACAACGTTTTCGGCCACGGTAAGATGACTTCTGGATTCACATTACTACACGTTTTTCAATTTTTGATAATTCACGTTGGAAGTATTTTGATATATTATCGGAGCGCATACGTTATGTTCTCTGTACAGAAACACGTTATCAGACAAATCCATAACGAACGGGATGCGGAACATTCGACATCAATCATTCTATAGATTTATCACACCTGATTAAATTCCTGGAAATATGTTCTCCTTGCATCGTCACCGACACATAACGCCAGTCGGAATTGTCAGTGAGGCACAAGATCATATTCTCTTGAATAAATATTCTACACAAAATATATGATTACATTTCATTCGGATCAGACAGGTATGCTACGCAGCGTCTGGCATAGTAAACATGAATGTTCGGCAGCTTCAATTACTGTGTGGGATGGTCAGAAGGAGAGACATTCATCCCAAAATAAACTTTTTCACTGTAAATATGTTCAACCCGCTCTTGAGGTTTCACAGCAAAAATAGGCGTTGTGTGAAAACGCTTCATGCAGACTAACGCTGACAATTTCCGTATACTAAATCTGTAAACTCGTCTAGTGATGATACAATTAAGGGGAAGTAGATTAATTCATCATGACTGCTCTTGTAACAATGTGAGTTTTGTTGATGTTCCTGAATATGATGGTGTATCCCTAAAGAAATGAAACAAGAATGAACTCCCTAGACTCTCCCTATGTCCATTCGTACATAGCCTTAATGGTATGAATAGGGGAGGATTGTGAATTTGTCGAAAATTATAATACATACGTATACATTAGTCAATAAATCCTATAAACACGTCTGTCAGTAAAACAGTAGTGACCAATGCTGCTGCGGAACCGCTGCTACCGCCGTTGTTTTGAACATGATTATGCTTTTGACCGAGACTGCATTTTCTTGTCACAATCAAGAATGCAAGAATGTTAAATTAGAATTACACCAGAGTTCGGACAAAGAAAATACCTTTAAATTCTGAACTATGCCTTAGTGAGGCAATATAAACCCAATTTCTTTACGTCCAAAATTAGTGTTGAATGTGTTGATGTTTCATTCATTCAAATGATTGCACGCTTCATTTGCCACTTAATCGGTTTAGAAAATGAAAACTCTTTCATGTACTGAAATTGTCATGATATTTTATACTGTCTGTTTACAACCCTTATGTGAATATTGCATATACATGTATGTGATATATTACGTTATATATGATCTAAAAAAAATTCATGACGAAGATGACCGAGATTATACACATCCATGATAACTATAAAATAATCATAAACTATGGACTTTATGACCTGTATGTTTGATAACACTTCTGTGTACACAACAAACCACTTATCAATACCTGGGGCAAATGAATATTGGGATTTTACGCAGATTTTCTTTTCTACCTGTTGTTGTATTCACAACAACAATAACAACAACAAAACTAATAATAGCGATCGCAACAAAGTAAAAGCCACAAATACTTATGCTGTACCCGTCCTTTCGTATACTTTTGGTGTTGTTGATTGGACAAAACAAAAAATTCAGGGTACTGAAGAATCATGTCAGAGAATAGATCCCACCACCCTCGCCCTTCCCTCAATCGCTCATTTTTACCAATCATTATGGGAGGACGTGGTTTGATTAACGTTGGGGCTCTTCATGAGAGAATTGTTTTGTGCACTTTTGCACACATTTATTTGTCTGATGATCCTTTTCTGAAGCATGTCAAGACTCATGATAAAGACAAGGCATTCCACAGTTTTCTAAAGCGAGCCAAGGATGTGGGACATAATCTCAATGTCGGTGTTTAGTTTGTTGATGGTTCTGTACTGCTGGACAGTACAGAAATGAGTGTCAACCAAGCGAAGTGCCATATTAAGTTGGCTCAGACTGCATCGAGTTAATGTGCAATGTGTTGAGAAAATCAGCAATCCTGCAGAGTCCTTCGCTTGGATGAAGTCGTCTGGCCTGAAAAGTAAAACTGAAGGCTTTCTGTTCGCTGCTCAGGACCAGTCACTTCCCACTCGAAACCGTCAATGTGTGATTTTGCATCCAGATGTAAATATGAAACGTACATTATGTGATGAATTTAATGAGTCTGTCCAACACATTGTTAGTCGATGCCCAGTTTTGGCACAAACGCAGTATCTTAAGCAGCCTGATGGTGTAGTTCGATCATTTTGTGCTTGTGGTTTTGACACAGCGGTCCACCCGTGTCACAGTGAGAATATGATAAGTCGAGATACTACTGGTGCGGGGGGGGGGGGGGGGGGGGGGGGGGATATGAATTGTAAATTTCCTTATCTCATTTGCATACTGATGTTCATGTATGATTTAGGTACTAATGTTCATGATTGATTTGTATACTAATGTCGATTGCATACTAATGTTCATGATTGATTTGTATACTAATGTTCATGATTGATTTGTATACTAATGTCCATGATTGATTTGTTTACTAATGTTCATGATTGATTTGTATACTAATGTTCATGATTGATGTAGGTATTACGGCAATCATTAAGAGTCCATGCGTGCTTACTACACTGCCTGCTGTAAACTTAATCCGTGCTTAACAGATATGAACAAATTATTCGTTTTATGGACATATTTTGTAAATATGTCACATGGAAGTGTTTTGAAGCTTCTTGAAATTACATTAAAGCTCGGGCAATTATTTACATGAGATCAAAATATATGATAGTTGCTGTTGTTAGTGTGTTCAAAAGCAAACAAAATGCTAAAGGATGTGTCGCTGGGATACGATAGAACATGCAATAATGATGAACATACTGTAGATGAATAGCTAGCCAGGGTTTATATCGTTGAGGTATGTTGCAGTTATATAGATGTACATTCCCGGAGAATGTCATACTATTGAAAAGCGACACTGTCACGTCCTCCTTAGTCATGCGTGGTGTGTGTGTGTGTGTGTGTGTGTGTGTGCATGCGTGTATGCGATCGTGTGTGCGTGCATGTTCGCGTGTGTGCAAGAGTGCTTGTGTGTGTGTGTGCATGCTTCTGCATGCGTGCTTGTGTGCCTGCGTGCTTGCGTGCGTGTGTGGGTGTGGGTGTACATGCGTCCATGTGGGCAAAAGTGCGCTCGTGTATGTGCGTGCCTTTCACATAGACATCCAATACCTCTACGGGTGTTCCCGTTTGGACAAGACCGTTTCGTGATAACCTGGCATCATCACCGACTACAATAATTCGCTATCCCAATTTTATCCACTGGATGGTACATCCCGATTCCGCATTATCCGAATAGTATACCCCAAGGGATTGATGTTTATAATTTACATGTAAAAGTTCAATATCGATGTACCACCATCAACACCGGAGACACAAAAACTCTCCATCTGAAGCGACTGTATATTTTCAGCTTAATAGATACCGTGTACAATTGAATTACTCCCTCGAACTAGAGCCAACTTGTCGGCAAGTGAAGTGCCACCGCTGTAAGTTCACACTGAGATGCATCATAAGATTGAGAGACACAGCCTGTCGTACATACACAGATGCAAGACTGTGTTCCCGATTTGAGTTGTGGGTATTAATAATCACAAAACAGGCTTTTCTCTGTAGGTGATGAGACAAGCGTTTCTGTGTTTAAAGTGTAACAATATATATTAAGCGGTATTTGGAAGAAGAATGGTGTTGTGCTTATAAATAGTAAGCATATAATTTGAGAAGTGTTTTGAAGAATTGCGTGACTGCCAAGTATGGCAAAATGTTATTTATGTGTTATTAGGTTCTTGTTCTGAACTGTTGACCTCCTCCTCCTACTGTGACGGAGTTTGCTTTCTCTGTTGAGTGAGTGAGTGAGTGAGTGAGTGAGTGAGTGAGTGAGTGAGTGAGTGAGTGAGTGAGTGAGTGAGTATGGTTTTACGCCGCTTTTAGCAATATTCCAGCAATATCACGGCGGGGGACACCAGAAATGGGCTTCACACATTGTACCCATGTCGGGAATCGAACCCGGGTCTTCGGCGTGATGAACGAGCGTTTAAACCACTAGGCTACCCGACAACCCCCGCTTTTTCTGTTGTGACAACATAGTAGGTTGTTTGTTTGTTTGTTTAATGCCGCACGCAGCAGTATTCCTGTATTTGTATGACAGCGGTCTGTAAATAATCGATTCTGGACGACACAATCCAGTGACTGACATCATGAGC